ATCACATTTCCAACCAATAGAATAAGTTCGTCAGCAGCTCTCTTCACTTTCTATCTGATTGGCCCAGCTTATCAATAGTTATTAGGACACAAACACAGCATCTACAACTAACTACACGATTACAAATGAAGATTTATTGATGATTTGCCTAAATAACGATATTCGAATGGTGCTGATGAAGAATAATCAAGGCTTTGTTGTTAAAAATTATCCTTTAAAGCTATCGAATTCAAACACATGCCCCCAACAACTCACTTTGAAAGGTATATTCAAACATGGTGATGAACTATGAAATAATTGACTGCATTATTATTTCTCAAGAGAGAGCATCAGACAAATATCCATCCAACTACATTGCATCCTTGTACAATGTAAACTCATCTGATGATTGGCTAAAAAGATGGTTTACAATCGGTCAAAAAAAAAATTCAACTCCATAAATATAACATTCCTATTCAATTCATTTGATTTGATTGAGTTAAGTTAGTAATAATAATAATAATAATAATAATAATAATAATAATAATAATCTTTCCGGAAATTCAATACAACATCCATCCATTATCCATTCATTCAGTATTCTTCTCTCAGAGTATTAGTAGTACAACAAAGAAGCTACAAGACATAAAAAAAAAATTTTAGAAATTCAAAATTCTCGACTTATTTATTCACTTTTATTGTATGTACATTTCCTTACTGATTCTATTCTTTGCTTAATTCTTCTTGTTCATTCTCTCATGTCAAATAAATTCATACAAATTTTCATATCTGACAAAGTGTACAGTTTATTATTTATTATCTTTGTGTTTGTTGACATTGAAAATGTATGTCAATTGTTCAATAGTGAAAAGAGAACAATACTCATTGTTATTATTATTATGTTTTTAGAAATGATGAAATAAGCTTATTACAATAGTGATATTCATCATTGGAATTATCATAATCAAATGAAAATTAACTTGAATATGATTGAGGATGTATACCATTGGATGATAATACAGTTACGTTTTGAATGGTTAAACAATGGTTAGGAAAATTTCCGCCCGGAGCCCTTCTGGGTTTACTGTCGATCCCAAGCCCAGAAGGGTTAGTCATTGGGTTAACGATTCCATCCTGTAGAAAATCAACTCACTAAAAAATACGCTAATCAGGAAAAATAATTCAACCCATTCAAGTTTTGTACTGGGAATTAGGTCTTCATTTAGAGGACGAGCTATGACGCCTCATGATGAAAGTCAAGTTTCTTTGGAATTCATTAGGCCGATACCCCTTCTGACAATCAGAGTAATCATTATTATAGGTACATGGAATGTCATTACATTGTGGAAGCTCGGGAGAATAATTCAAGTTGTTACGTAAATGAAAGATGTATTCTGGTGGTCCTTAAACTGAAGAAGAAGAAAACCCGGAACAGACTAATTTGGAGAATACTGGTCGGTGGCCTACGCTCCAATAGGGGGTAACAAGCATAAGTTAGTAAGTAAGTAGTGGTTAAGAAAATGTATAGGACCTGGGTTCAGTTCCTATTGAGGTCACGATTGGTCATTATTTAAAATCTCTTGCTATAACAAAATATTGTTGTGATTCTTCTTGATTTTCAGTATAAGCTTGAGATGTATATCTACCCACAAAGTGAAACTAATTGATGAAGGGATTGAACAATCTTAGACCTGCGAACTTATTTTCTTGTTTCCTCGTAGGGCTCTTCATCATCACTAAACTAATAGATATAAGACGCATCTGACGATATAAGTTGAAATGAGTCATCCAAGGCATTCATTACACATGTATAGCCACTGTTTTACAATTGTACCTGACAGTATAACTTATCGATTCCTGCGGATCTAAACTCCTATAGAATTCTTACCTAATAGTACCTCGGAAACTGGATGTTAAAAAGTCTCATTAAAAATATATATGTTGTGAATATTGTATTTCATCAATACCGACTATCCAACAAACTTTGAGCGCTTGGTTTTTTTTTAAATCTACCCTCAGTAAAGAATAAAGGCTTGACACAAACTGATGAAATCGACAACTAGTTTTTACAGAGTATGGATTAAGACGTATAGAATTATTTGATTACACTCTATATGACAGTTATATTCAAGGGTTAAAGATGAAAAACAATCATACTGGTTCCGATTGTATCCATTTATTTTCATTATTACATTATTCTAGAAACTTCGCTTGGCGCTCATCTGAGGCTACTACCGATCCCAAGCCCGGATCAAGGAAGAGGATTAGGCATAGGATTGGCGACTCCATCCCTTAGAAAACTAACTCACTAGAAAAAAAAACGCTAACCATAAAATAGCTTGTCTAAATCTTAAGTTTTGAATTAATATTATTATTACTTCATATTTGTTATTTGTTAATTAAACTTATTTTCTTTTTAATTCAAACTATATTCTTCCTTCTTATTCTGACTACATTCTTATATGTACTGTTATCAACTTAAGCCTGTATATATATATATATATATATATATATATTTGTATTGGATCTGGCGACAACCAATCTTTTCTGTATGCATGCAATATAACAACACATTTAATCACTACTGTAAAGCTAATTTTCAAAAAAAAACAAAAAAACGTGAATTGAACACATTGAACAAAGTAAAACAACACTAAGATTACTAAATTTTTTTTTTATTTTTCTGTAAATTACATTATACTTTAGATAAAAATTAATCATAGTAAACATATGCATGTATATATATATACGTTTATATATGGAATAGTGTTTTCTAAAAAAAAGACAAACTATTATATACATTGTCTGAAATAGTGTGCATAGTCTGTCAGCAAGTGAGTTCATGTGATCGATCAGTCAGTAGTCAACCAACTCATTGTATCAGTACACGACATATACATTTGTATGTATATATATATGTATATATCTGTATTCCAATTCAGATAAATTACCTTCCAGTTTCTTATTTCTTTCATTCATACAATCATAAAGAACGTTTCACTCCTTTTTTTTACACCGAACTGACTAGTGCTATCAATTTGTATTTGTATGTTGTATTTTTATGAGTAAGTGTTCGCATTCATTCATTCGCTCATTCGATCACATAACTCTGTGTATGTGTATAGATTTATCAAAAATATAAACATACAAACACACGCACACACACAAACAGAAATCAAAGAGAGTATCACGATATTATTTCTGTTTTCCATTACTAGTTTCATTTTCCAATTTTTCCAATAATGATATTAAAAAATATTAACTGATCATTGATTATAGAAGTGAACAATGGTAAAAAGATGAAACACACAAAACAATTTATTAAAACACAGAAAATATATAATCAAGGCTAATTGAACAAATGAATGATTACTAGTTGGTTAGGAATAAAAAAAAACAGAAACTTTCCATGATTTAAAAGAATCACTTTCTTTGGTTTATTCCCATTCATCATACATTCATTCATTCAACTATTCATTGTAAACACAGAAAATGAAGAATTTATTTGAAAACAAGTTGTTTACATCATTATCGACTGTAATAGAATGTCTGCATTAACTTTCTATGAAAAAAAAACAACTCTAGATTAGTTGTATGACATTAAGTGATAATGAATGTGGTCCTTGTAAACAATTTGTAAACGATTTGTAATTAATATATATATATGTGCATAATGCAAAATGAAATAGATTTCAGTGATTTTAATAAATCTTACAACAACTCCGGGATTTTAATGTAGTACGCATGTGTATTTTTGTACGTGTATTCGTGTAAATGAATTGTTTATGGGAAAAATAAAAGAATCCACAAGAAAGTTTACTTTTTTTTATATTGGTTGTTTCTTTGAAATGGATTAGGTTAATTTATATGTTTATTGATATCGTCATTATGTCTTTGGATGGATGAGTAAAGGAGTTTGTTATACACACCAAACAGAAATTATCCAATACACTGAATTAAACTTGTTCAAATGTTGTTTTAAGACACACCAAAAAAGAAAAAAATAGTGCGAAACCACACAGAATGATGTGCAAAGACTAAAACATGAATGATGTACAACACATTTATTAATTGATCAATTATTAGAGTTTTGAATTGACCTTGTGAATTTAATGAGTTTATATTTTTTTTTAAAAAAAACAAACAAAAGAAATGTACATACTCCGTGTATATGTATATGCGAAGAATATTATACACGGTTCATCTAAATGATTTGGCACCAAAATCTCCTTCCCTATTATGAAATAAGCTAAATTAAAGTCGTACGTAATTCATTAACCATTATAATAATAAGGTGCCTATATGAAATATGAAACAGTCTCAAATATCGTTTGTGTTTTTCTCGCGCAATCATGTGAATCCTTAATACTGATCAAAACGCTCGTACATATATATATATATATATATATATATATATATATATATGACTTATCGATATCAATCCAAACTTGTCTTAGACATTGGTATATGTATATAATTACTTCAGTGTAAATTCTTACAAATTACACAGCTTTACAGACAAAACCAAGAGAAAAAAAAAACAATTATAGGAGAATAAAATCAAAATTCAAAATAACACAGAATAATGTTACAATGGTTATCCTCCTCAATGGAGGAATTTCAACATAATTTATCTATTTTCTGTTTCTTAAAAAAAAAACTGAATATTTTCAATGAATTGAACCAGTAAACAACCATATATGAGAAATGCTTTACATTGTGCATATTAGGCGTATACTAACTAAACAAGGGAAATGCAATTTAATCTCATCTTCTTCTTGTGAATAATCGATAATAATAATAATAATAATAAGACGGACACAGCCATTGTTTTTTTGCCTTGTCAATGTGTACACTGTCTGTCTACTTGCTGGTGAATCATATTAAATACAACTAATCATTATTGAATAAATGTGAAAGTCTTTAAAATAAATGGGGTGGTTTTGATCCTCACCCCTCCCACCTCACTGTGAATGAATTTAAAATAATAGGCATAGTATAGTAATAGTAATAGTAGTAGTAATAATAATAATAATATTGATAATCATAACAGACAATATTGATTATGGAAATGCACCTGTTTGAGAATTATTGATTAAAAAAATCGATATATCGTTTGAATGACTCAAGAATATACTAGTTATATATATATATATGTGTATGTATGCAATGAATGTTAGTGTGTGTGTGTATATATATATATATACAGAATTATGTGTATACCACTGTGCATTCACTTCTTCTTTATCAATGAGTAATCGTCGACTAAAGAAGCATACAAGTTAATGAATGTCAGCGAACTAACTACACAATACTATCATCATTATTACTGGAACTATGATTTGTCACAGCATTAATAATATTTGTTCCAGATAATGTTACATTTGACGTGGTACTAATAATGGCATTTTGACCAGGTGGAGCAGTTGGTGAATGATTTTTCTGTGAATATCTAGATGATGGTGCTGTGGCTCCAATGAGTAAATCATTTGTTTCACCGACATAATTAGAACCATTAATATTATTGTTATTATTATTATTGTTGTTATTAATTAAATAATCTCCAGGTGTATTACTAAATGCATCCAGATATTTCTGTTCTTCAATTGTTTCATGCAAACGTTTATGTCGATAAATATGCCATAGTTCACAAGTTAAATCACCAGCCATTAAATCACCAACATTGATTGCAATTAAACGAATTAGAAATACACCATCGGGACGTAAATAATTTTCAACAAATTTACTAGTTGCCGCTTTGTCTGTATCACGCATTACTGACATAATTTTCAAATATTTTCGAATAAATTTCACACGACATTTTGACGAGCCCATACGAAAGAACCAAATAATGAAACTGCTCAATGTAACTATACCAACTAAACAATGCCAAAACCATAGGAATATGTAAATCTTCTCTAGGAACATATTTAATGGTAGGACACATTGTAGGGTATACCTGTTAAAAAAAAAACAGAATATAACAGAAATTAAGACGAATCATTACAAAATTCAAACTGTTGTCAGTTTGCAAAAAAGAGAATTAAAAACGATGAAATTATGGTTACTGGTTAATTCTGTAATCTTTTACACTTTAGTGAACACGAATTATTCGAAATAAACATACATACAGTGTACTTATTATATAATATGATAAAGTTATTTCTAAAATATTGGGAGGACCGATTGAATTTCTTCAATAGATGTAATGACTAATCATATTTGGTGGAGAAGTTTTGGATGGTGTAGAAACCTTTACATATCTGAGCAGCATCATTGACATACAATTCGAGTCTAAGGTAGAGGTAAAAAAACACGGATTAACAAACCAAGAGCAGTATTTCTACAGTTGAAGAACATTTGGAACTCATAACAACTATCTGTCAACCAACTTCAAAGTCACAATTTTCAATACAAATGTCAAAACCATTCTATTATATGGACAGGAAACTTGGAGAACCACAAAAGCCATTATCTGAAAAGTACAAGTGTTTATTAACAGTTGTCTATGAAAGATACTGAAGATCCGTTAGCCATACACTATCAGTACCGACTTGTTGTGGAAGAGAATAAACCAGATTTCAGCTAAGCAAGTAAGTAGGAATCATAGCTAGAGATGGATAGGACATATATGTTGAGGAAATCACCTAACTGTGTCGCAAGACAAGCCCCCACTTGGAATCCTCAAGGCCAAACGAAAAATGGTAGACGTAGGAATGCACTAAGCCGAGAAATGGAGACAAACATAAAAAGAATGGACACGATTGGATAGAACTGTTACAAAACTTTCAGGACAAAGTAAGTCGGAGAGTGTTGATTGTCGGTCTATGCTCCACTGGGGATAGCGGGCGTAAGTAAGTAAGTAAGTAATTTAGTGATCAAAAGATATCAGTGTCAGTTGTCAATAGGCTATGCAAAACTGATATTAATAACACCATAGATTCAGTTGGAAATAAAATATTTACATCCATATCATTACATGCAACAGTGGCGAAAAAAAAATAAAAGAAGCAGTACTTCATTGTAAACAAATTCCTAAGTTGTATAACATAAGATATATATATATATATATATATATATATATATATATGTATACATTATTTGGGAGTAAATAAATTAGATGACAATTCATTGACAACTGATCATTGTAAAATAATAACAAAACTAGATGCTCAAAACAGTGATTCCCTTTGATAAATTTGAATAGAGAAATAAGAAGACATATTTTGTGAGATAGTGGTACCATTTCGTGCTTTCTCATCAGTCACATACAAGCAACATGTTATTTGTGTAAATACAACAGTTTTGAAGATAAGGTCAAAATTTCTTATTTAGCATGACATTCACTCACTAGAACCATGGTAAACAAGACCGATTCAGTCCAAATCCCACTGTATTTACCAATTCACATGTTACTGCGGAGAAAGTTACTTAGGGAGGACAGATCGCCGATTGGATGACAGGATAGGGGAACATATTCCAAAATGGTCAATCAAATCCATGATTCATCCACCACCTAGCCCATCATCTCAAAGTCGATCAAGAAACCCACCCAGCCTCGTCCATTGCAAAACATCTAATGATGAGTGGTCATCAAATTGACCCAAAATCAGCCTTTATAGAGTTGTGACATATAATCAAAACCCACACACACACACACTGAAACTACTCGAAGCTATCTTTATTGGTCGGAAAAGTCCAACTTTATGTGTTCAAAAACAACTGTATGTTGACCTTTGTTTACCATGGTTCTTCTAGTGAGTGAATGTCATGCTAAATAAGAAATTTTGACCTTATCTTCAAAACTGTTGTATTTACACAAATAACATGTTGCTTGTATGTGACTGACGAGAAAGCACGAAATGGTACCACTATCTCACAAAATATGTCTTCTTATTTCTCTATTCAAAACTAGATGCATTTAAGTTTTCCAATGTTTTCAATGATTAATATTGTTACACATTATTTAAGATACAGTAAATAAATAGTTTAAATATTCAACTTTCATTTAGTATGTTATTAGTTTTGGTAGTCTACAAACCTAGATATTTGTCATTGTTTAAGTAAGCTGGCATTATTTTTCAAAATTCAAATTCAAATTTACTTATACATTAACAAATAAAAGTAAGGAAATCAACTAATAGCGTAACAAGACAAGCCTTCACTTAGAACCTGCTAGGTCAAAAGAAAAGAGAATGACCAACTGAACACATTACGCCAAGAAATGAAGACAGACAGGAGAAGAATGAATAACAATTGGATAGAATTGGAAAAGAAGGCCCGAGATAGAGGATACTGAAGAATGTGGGTTGGCGGCCTATGCTCCATTGGGGGGGTAACAGGAGTGAGTAAGTAAGTAAGTAAATAAGTAAGTATGAGCAGGTTGGCTAAACTAAGCTAGGTTATCAGTCCATAAGGACAATGGCTACTGGAAATAGCTGCATGCGTAAGGAGAGATTATTTTATTAAGGTTCTCGAGTAACAGTTGAAGAGAATCCTTAACATCGCTTACAATGGGTAACAATATTAGAGATGTATTATTCCCTATGAATCTTCTGTGATGGTGGAGCTCAGGTGAATGATTGTAGTGGTGTTTCGTTCTCTCTGATCTGAGTGTTTTGGTTGTTGAGCTTCAGAGAGATGATGATGTTGTTCAGCAGTGAACAACAATGAAAGCTCCACAACCAAAATATTCAGCTCAGAGAACGAAACACCACCACTATGTATATTCCTTCCTCTAATTTTGGTGGTGGTATTTGGTTCTCTCTGAGCTGGATGGTGTTTTGGTTGTGGAGCTTTCATTGTTCTCCTGCCGAAAAACATCATCATCAGCAAAAACTTCACATAGCTTAAGTGAAGTATTCGAATTTCTCCACGTTTTTGACCTGTAGCCTGTTCTGCTAACCTAGATCTTGATTGGTTGCTGTTGACCTTAAACCTGTCGTTGTTTCTGCACATTTGTTTTGACTGTATCCCCCTTTTTGATCTGTTTCTTGATCCTATATCACCTATGATTTTCCTGATTAGTTGATAAATTGGGTCACTGTCTATGTGTTTATTGATTGCTGATTTTGACCTGAATGCCAAACTTCTAAAAATTCTCTAGTGTTCTTTGTCCTCCCCCTACTCAAATGTGGAGAAATTCGAATACTTCACTTCTGCTCTCTAAAGTTTGTGCTGATGATGTTGTTGTGTTCAGCAAGAGAACAATAATGAAAGCTCCACAACTAAAACACCATCCAGCTCAGAGAGAACCAAACACGACCACCACCACTATAATCGTTCACCTGAGCTACAAATCTTCTCCAACTTCTCTTAATTTTTTTATGCCTATTTAAGTTCAAAACAGTGGTTCCCTTTGATAAATTTGAATCGAGAAATAAGAAGATATATTTTGTGAGATAGTGGTACCATTTCGTGCTTTCTTGTCAGTCACATACAAGCAACATGTTATTCGTGTGTAAATACAACAGTTTTGAAGATAAGGTCAAAATTTCTTATTTAGCATGACATTCACTAACTAGAAGAACCATGGTAAACAAATGTCAACATACAGTTAGTTGTTTGTGAACACATAAAGTTGGACTTTTCCGATCAATCAAGATAGCTTCGAGTAGTTTCAGTGTGTGTGTGTGTGGGTTTTGATTATATGTCACAACTCTATAAAGGCTGATTTTGGGTCAATTTGATGACCACTCATCATTAGATGTTTTGCAATGGACGAGGCTGGGTGGGTTTCTTGATCGACTTTGAGATGATGGGCTAGGTGGTGGATGAATCATGGATTTGATTGGCCATTCTGGAATATGTTCCTCTATCCTATCTTCCAATCGGCGATCTGTCGAGAAAGCACGAAATGGTACCACTATCTCACAAAATATATCTTCTTATTTCTCTATTCAAGTCTATAAATATCGCCAAAAAAGAAAGATGTATATATATATACATTTTTAACTCAATTTTTTTGAAACCATGAATCGATCAATAATGTTAGACCACACACACCATTAGAAACCTGGAAGCACTGCAGAAGACGGCCGTTTCGTCCTGGTATGGGACTACTCATCAGTGGCAGTGCGCATCCACGACTCCTGCACCCCGCAGGATTCGAATCCTTCGGTATTGTACGCGAACGCCATAAACCAGGACGAAACGGCCGTCTTCTGCAGTGCTTCCAGGTTTCTATAATGGTGTTAATGTCTAACATTATTGATCGATTCATGGTTTCAAAAAAATTGTGTAACTTAGCAATCTTCAACAACCCCTGTTAATGCATATACATTTTTTTTTGATCAAGACAAAATGTCTTACTTTCTCATTACTTACTTACTTACTTACTTACACCTGTTACCACCCCAATGGAGCATAGGCCGCCCACTAGTTTTTTCCAACCAACTCTGTCCTGTGCCTCCCTCTCCAGTTCTGTCCAATTTTTGTTCAGTACTCTCATATCTTTCTCTATTTCTCGGCGTAATGTATTATTTGGCCTTCCTCGTTTCCTTTTGCCTTCAGAGTTCCATGTGAGGGCTTGTCCTGTGACGCTGTTAGGTGCTTTCCGCAGTGTGTGTCCTATCCACTTCCACCACTTCTTCCTGATTTCCTCCTGCACTGGAATCTTGTTTGTTCTCTTCCACAGTAAGTTGTTGCTGATGGTGTCTGGTCAACGAATACGAAGTATTTTGCGTAGACAACTGTTAATAAACACTTGTATCTTCTGGATGATGGCTTTTGTAGTTCTCCATGTTTCCGCTCCATACAGTAGAACTGTCTTGACATTTGTATTGAAAATGCTGACTTTGGTTTTTGTTGAAAGTTGTTTGGAGTTGCAGATATTTTTCAATTGTAGAAATGCAGCCCTCGCTTTGCCGATCCGTGCCCTCACATCTGCATCCGATCCACCTTTCTCGTCGATGATGCTGCCCAGATATGTAAAGTTGTTAACGTCCTCGAAAGCATCTC